GAACTACTTTAATTTATCATAGATATGAAGACCAAGATGATGTGGCCTTATGTTTGGTCGCAGTCTCCTTTAGCTTTATACTGTTCGTTCGACTTTATTTTCACAGACCTATGCGAGGTCGAAACGGCAGTCTACCCTGAATGAGAACAGCTTTTGGGAAAGCAAGGCAATGTAAAACTCAATGGAAACGTCAGCTCTACTCATATCATTGTGGGGAAATTCTAGTACCAGTTCTTTATCACCTTAAACAAAATAGGGTTTATACATCTCCTATTACGTATTCCTAGTCATGCATTTCATTGAATGGTTAAACTTTAATGACCCTAGACTGAGAGGTTAGGACAGATGGCTTCGTAAATTGACTTACACACCTACAAGCTTACATCTCATTATCTCAACCGTACTTCCTTACGGATGTACACAGTCTCGGTCAGGGCTCTTTCTTGAGCCATTAAGCCTTTATGATCATAGCCTGACATTAGCTTTTTTGATCACTCTGATTTAGGACCAGTATTCCGTGTAGACATTAATATACACAAAAACACTCGAACAGAAGTAGCTGGACCAATACGAAATATATTTAAGCAAGCCATTCGATATCTATATAGGCCTTTTAATTTTCGTTTGCTTAATTGAGTCTATATAAAATGTAAAATAGAACCGGACAGTCTCATTAACCTCTTGTTATTGTGAGACTTTTGGACGAATGTGTTCCAGCTCTGCTGATGTCTATCATATGATGGACAAAAGATCAGACCGTTTTCACCTGAAACGAGGAAGGAGCTATCGTGGACTGCATCAACCTGAACGTCGTACTAAAGCCAAACGGCTGCAGCACAAGGGGATTCAGCCGTGTTCTTCTTGTGAGATCGACCTTCGAATTTCTTCTTCATGCACTTTCATACTAGATGCAAGTCTCCCTAACGGTGTTATCTCAGGAGATTCATCGAAATCCGTTTACTCTTCGTATTTTTGGTATATTGAAGAGATTTGAACAATTAATGTTTTTGGATTTCGATGATTCTTCTTAAATAATATTGTTGTAATTACTTTAATTTTTTATGGAAATGATATTGATGGGTTGAATCTTGACCTAGACATGTATACATTGACACTTAGGCTTGCAAGAAAAGAAACTAACCAAATCATTATCTATATATAATTCTTATTTTAGTGGTTTTTGCAAGGATATATTCGTGGTTCTTATGGCTTAGTGTTAACCTGCATTTTTTGTAAGAATTAGATCCAGTTTTAATTATGTCTATCATACGACAGAAAGAGCTCAACCCCTTTTTATCGCAACCGAAGAGGGTTGTATCATTGACTAGTTCAATCTGAATGGGATAATTAAATCAAACGACTGCGGATCAACGGGAATTACTATCATGTTGGTTCACGAAAACTTCATCCTTTATTTGAGTTTAGTTTATCCTTACTCTTAAATGTTAGAAATAAAATCAGTGCCTAGTATTAAGAAAATTTTGCTAACCTTTTAATACAAATTCTTGGTGTCTGTAGATTTGATATGTTTGGTGCTAACAAACTATTTGTCTTTCGGAAACATTTGTCTTTAATCCCAATATTCTTAAACTTGAGCTCTTTGGCTTCCTATGACAAACGGATTATATGAAACTATATGTTATTTTACAACCCTTTGTGTTTAGAGCCTACGCGATTATTGTCACAAATGTTATCATCTGGTGAGATCGACAAACGAATCTCTTCATGTACTTTTATTCGAAATGAAGGTCCCCCTAAGATTTTAATCAAGTTATCGCTTCATTCATACGATATCAGCATTTTTTGCCATTTTTACACTATTTATATTTATGATAGCTAAAACGGATTCCTTCTGGGTTCATTTTTTTGTTGTATAGCTGAAATCAAATCGGCTTGGAAATATGTCAAAATGAGTTTGTAATAGCAAAATAGTCACCATTTTTTAACTGGATGCAATAGTAATACTTATTACCTTACGCGTTTTCTCTTCCATAACCTTGAAATATTACTAATACACGAATATTCCCTAACAGGCTAAAATTCCTGGACACACGGGCTACCTAACCTTCGCCTCTTGGTTACCCAGGCTGAATTTGGATGGACCGATCAGAGATGACCTCCGTTCTCAGGATGATCTGCACTTGGCGGAACAAGAAAAGCGGCAGGCCGACATACAGTTAGACGAGGACGATCATAAAAATGATGCAGAGAATAATCATATTGTGAAAAAAATTTCGAAGGTCACTTCTGCATGTGTGAAGATGCCGCGTTTGGCCAAATCTACTTCTAATACCTACACAATTGTTCCGCATACTACTTCCATCCTTGATAACACTAAACTAGAAGATAACGAAAATAACATTTAGCTTGCATGAATCGTACCTATGTCAATACCCCGTTTTTTGCATGATTTTTTCCAGGAATTTAGTATTCATTTCTATACTCACATTATTTAGCCGCATTTAATGTTTATTCTCCAATATTAGTGGAATTGGCTCCGTTGGTAGTTGTGTAGATCAGCTAAGCTTCTGATGTGGATGTAGCTTCCAACGTACATCCATACTTATGAATACGTGACCCTTCTATTCTTTTATTGTGCATTTCGAGGTTGAAGGGGAGTCCAGACTTTTTGGATCAGATCAGTAAAATGTCGCTGCTTACTCATTACTTTTTGACCGCTGGATAAAATACGAGAATGCAAATAATTGGTTCTTTGGATTCGCCCTGACAACTCGACTTTTAATCTTATTTTACAGAACACAAAATATCTAGTCCGTCAATAGGTCACAAACTCTTCTCAAAGTCGGATCTGAACATGTGTTTTGTTCACATCCGGCCTGTAACATCACATATTTTCCTTAGACGACTCGCCCACGATAGTGGCTACAATCATTCTTTACTGGTTTATCCTTTCTTTATCGGAGTTTGATTTTTTTGTCAAAGCCTGGTGGCTTTTTATATCGAATTAGCACCTAATAGGACCGCTTCATTATTTTTGACATGCTTTTTATGCAGCCATCGTGTATATGCGGACCTTGATTTGAAGGATATACTGCTATTTAACATCGTTTGAATAAATTTCTAATAACTACTAGTAACTTACCCGTTTTTCTTCACGATAAATCCAATGTTAGCAACCATGTTACTCGATTTTCTGAGGTATTCCTAGGCTTCCAAAGCAAGCCGAGATTTTTGAAAGGACTCTTTGTTATCATGGTAACTAGGAGTGTTGTGTTGAATTTTTTGTCTTCATTTAGCAATGATCTAAATTATCTTGATACATCGTCTTAATTTTACAGCTACAACACACTTTATATGGGAAAACCCCTTAGAGGTATAACTGAATGACATTTAATGGAATCGCGTGGCATGCTCATTTCATTGTCAGAACTCCAAACATTAATCAAGCGTCACCTTAGGCGACTAAGGATGACTGGTTCCTATTTACGAATTATCAATAGTTTCATAACCTTCTCTTCCGGCATATATTGTTTACAGGTCTTTCCATAGTTGATGCGCATGTAATCCATCTACTTTCTAATAATCCTTAAAATTCGTTATCAAAATAGGGTCCTTTTTAATAAGGCTGTTTTTTACCTCAAAAATGTGTTGAGGTGACGTGGGGGATAATAGTTAGGCTATTGCGAGACCCAAATCATAGTTCGCTCCAGAATAAAAACTTTTTGGTGCCAAGCTTTATAGTAGATTTAATCATCTAATGAATCATGCTCGTACTATTGTTTCAATTTGTTCTCTTTTTGACCAATAAAGACATTGCTTTGCGCGTACTCATGAAGGAAAGCTGGACTT